GGTTTTGAATTCCTGACCTCAAGTGATCCGCTCGCCTTGGCCTCCCAAAGTGCTGGGATTACGGGTTTTTCCATGTTGGTCAGGCTGGTTTTGAACTCCTGACCTCAAGTGATCCGCTCACCTTGGTCTCCCAAAGTGCTGGGATTACAGGTGTGAGCCACTACACTTGGCCTGTCAAAGCAGAGTCTTTAAGAGAAAGGGATGCAGGAAAGATTGGAGATCTTTCGAAGAATCCCTTTTTAAAAAAATTATCTTTTGGCTGGGCATGGTGGCTCGCGCCTGTAATCCAAGCACTTTGGAGGCTAAGGCGGGTGGATCACCTGAGGTCGGGAGTTTAAGACCAGCCTGACCAACATGGTGAAACCCCGTCTTTAAAAAAAAAAATAATAATAATTTTTTTGTTGTAGTTCTGTCACCTTTAGTGGACCCTTTATTAAGGCTAAGAATCTTATACTTCTCATGTCTGCTCTATGTGAGTTGGTGTAATTGGTCAAATTCACAATCCAGAAATGCCTGTATTGTTTCTGATGTTCTGAGGAGGTGTAGTTGTCTTCCTTGATTTCAACCCCTAGAGCTTTATAACTTTACCCGGGAACATGAGTCATTATTATTATGTCTTTCATGAATTATGTAAACTTAAAAAAATTTATATTTTCAACGTAAACTACTCCTTGGAGGAATTTAGTTCCTTTAAAATTTATTTCCTAATTTTAATTTATACTAGTCTTATTTCTTTCAAGCTTAAATGAGTAGGCCTTAGTTCTGTATTATGGCCTATTTATTTATTTATTCATTCATTCTGTCTCTCTCTGTCGCCCACAGTGGAGTGCAGTAGCGCGATCTTGGCTCACTGCAACCTTTAATTTTTTGTGTTTTTAGTAGAGACGGGGTTTTACCATGTTGGCCAGGCTGGTCTGGAACGCCTGTCCTCAGATGATCTGCCCGCCTCAGCTTCCCAAAGTGTTGGGAATACAGGCGTGAGCCACCGCGCCTGGCCCTTAATTATGTTCTTTGTGATTTCAGTAGCTATACTTTTAAAAACTTACATTTCCATAATGAAGACTTCTGTATTATTATTTTTTTGTCTTCACATATAATACTCCAGCTCCCTTGCGACCTATCAGCGTTTTCCTACACCCTTTGTTATCTCTCTTGCTGTGGTACAACTGGTAGGACAATAAGCCGTGGGCACAGGCTGTCCCTAAATCCTATGGATTTCCTTTAGTCAATAACCAGAATTTTGATAGTTACGGCACTTACGTCTGAAGAATGTGATAAATTCCTCCTATTGAATGTAAAGAACTATTTTTTCTATGCAGACTAACACCTATATTCACTTTCCTTATAGAGTAAGTATGTAACCAAATCTGTTCTTGGCTTCTAAGAAGTTAGAACTCAATGTAAAGCTCACTTGTAGAAAATTACTTACTCATTCTGCGTAGATGGACACAGGTATTTAGTGCTTAAGTAGTTTCTGATATACCATTAAACTAACAACATTTAAAAAATCGCTCTAAATTAATATGTATTTTAAGAAGTTTTTTTTTTTTTAATAGAAGTGGTAGAGCATAAATTATAATCTTTAATAAGGCAATAAAAGCAAACATTATTGCTCTGGGCAAAAGTTGGCTAATGCTTTCGGATTTATTTCCGAAATCTTCACAGACGACGCTCAGCATCCTATCAACCCTTGGCAGAGACACATGCTCCAGCCTAAATCCACTAAATTCTGGCTCTCGCCCAAAGTGTGTAGCCAGTATCCATAGAGACCGGGAAAAGCATCCACCAGCCAGGGCGGCTTTCTCCTCCTCAGCTCTAAATTGCTTCCTTTTTCGGTGGGAGCAAAAACTCCGAGGTGTTGTGTGACCACCTAAGGAGTGTACCTTCCTCTGTCCCTCGACGCCCCGTATAGTTTTCGCTGAGTTCCTGGCCGAACCACAGCTCCCACGATGCACCCAGGTTCTAGAGCGGTCAGAGGGGCAGCTTCCGGTTTAGGACAGCGCGGCTGCGCACGGAGTGTAGTCTTATTGGCTCGAACCGCCTCGTGCGATGCGCGTCACGGCGACGTGGGGGCGGGGAGACGCGGCGGCGGTGGCGGCGGCGGTCGCGGTCGCGGCGGGGCGAGCGCGATTCCAGAAGCGGCATCGCGGCGGCGGCAGCGGCGGCGGCTATACCGGGCTGGGCCCCCTCCCTCCTCCGTTCCCCCCTCCTCCCCCTTCCCCTCAGCCGTGGTTCCCGAGAAGTCCGAGACGCGCGGCGAGGAGGCGACGGGCTCCAGGTGAGGGTCTCTGGAGTGTGGGCGCCGTTTGGGCGCAGAGGGAGAGCCTGGGGTCGGGGGGAGGTGAGGGCTGAGGGGGCGAGTGTCCCCGGCGCGGGCCGGAGAGCGCGCGTTCGTCCGGGCCCGCAACTTGATTCCTAAGTCTGACATGCCGCCCGGCGCGGGGTGCGGTGGTCTGACGGGCGGCCGTGGGGGGCCTGGAGCCGCCCGCCTTGCGACTGCAGTCGGAGGAGCCCGGCGCCCACCGCCCGCCTCGTCGCGCCTGTAGTGGCAAAGGGTCGGAGCCCGCCGCCCTCAGCTATGCTCACCTTCGGGTGCAGTTCCTCCCGCTCACTGTCCGCGGAGAGGATCTGCCCGCCCCTCTTCGTCTCCGTCTCTTCTATCTCTTAGAGGAATTTCTTTGGTGGAGGCTTGGGATGGGCTCTCTAAGCACTACTTTCAGTGACTGGGGTGGGGAGAGTTCCCTGATCTTTCTCTGGTGGCGCGTCAGGCGGCCTGCTTGGTACCTTGGGTCCTGCTCTCCCAAGCCCCGGCCCGTCAACGTTCGCTTCTTTTGAAGTTACTGATGACAGCGTTATAAATCAGTTTTTAGGGGGCTCGGAGAGAGTTTGGATTGGAAACTGATACATTTTCTTCTCCTGGTTTTTGACCTTGATTTAAACGTTTGCCTCTGAAATTTTGACAACTTCATAAAATGGTCCAAAAGTGAATTTCGATAGAAAGGTTTAAATGCCTAATTGGGATTTTATGGGGTACAGTGACTTCGTTGCAGGTTGTTGACGTTTTTTATTTCTTTTTTTTTTTTTTTAATAGGATGGTCTTTAAATTTTTTGACTCTGGGTTTCTGAGACTTGGTTATTGTCCCCATTTATGTTCCAAAAGCAGACTGTTTAACCACCCCTTCGTCTCACCAAGGGAATCCCTTCACACGCCAAGAAATCTGTCATAACATTTAAAATTATTTGATCACAAAACTTTTCCAAATGAAATGTTAAAAATTCCTTCAGAAAAAAATTTTTTCTACCCATAGCTTTATTTTTTGCGGGGAGATTACAAATCTTATTAGTTCTAATGTTTGAAGTGTCCTCTTATCAAAGGCCACTCTTGTGTCTCCTTAAACAACTCTTAGGTAATTCCTGGTTGTTTTCCATCCGTTCTTATAAATTTGTTGTCAGCGTGCTGATTGTGATGATCTGTAACCAAAATTCATCAGTAAAGATTTCCACACATGTGGCAGCTGCTTGTTGGTGAATTATGAAATTTGAATAAATTGCAAGTTAAATGTGAGAGGCATATTTCTTTTAACTTCTGATTGTAACTGCCCACCAGTATACGTTCCTATCTAGACTTTGGTCTGGTTAGCAGATTTCCTCTTTTTATTTGGCACTAGAAATGAAAGTAGGATTTCCAGGGCCTTTAAGAGTTTTTTTTTCCATATCTCTTAGGCTTCTTGTATGAATTTATAAATGAATGGGGTTTACTATCAATGATATCAGTTTAGCTGGTGCACCTTTTTTTTTTTTTTTAGTATCACATTTCGTTTCCCAAAATGAAAATAATTTTATTCTTTTTTTCACAGATTGACAAATTTTACAGCCTGCAGGCCAAGTCCTGCCAGTTGTCTCTTTTTGTAAATAAAGATGTTATTAGGCCTGGCCCGGTGGCACATGCAGGCAATCCCATCACTTTGGGAGTCTGAGGCGGGCATATAACTTGAGGTCAGGAGTTTGAGAACAGCCTGGCCAGCATAGTGAAAGCACATCTTTATTAAAACTACGAAAATTAGCCCGGTGTGGTGGCGCATGCCTGTAATCCCAGCTACCCTGGAGGCTGAGGCAGAATGATTTGAACTGGGGAGGTGGAGGTTGCAGTGAGGGGAGATTGTGCCGTTTCCCTCCAGCCTAGGCAACAAGAAGGAAACTCCATCTCAAAAAAAATAGTTTTTGTTAGAACATAGCCGTATGCAGTCGTTTAGATATTGTCTGTGGTTTCTTTTGTGGTACAGCAGCAGAGTTGATTAGTTGTGCCAGAGACCCATATGGCCTATAATACCTATATATTTATTTACAATGTGGCCCTTAATAGAAAAAGTTTGCCTAGCTTCATTAAAAATGATACATAGTCAATGTTGAGAACTAAAATGAGACCCTGAATTGTAAAGGAGAAAGTAAAAATTATCTACAAGCACACCACTCAGGGATTGTTTTTGTGTGACTGTAGAACCTGTTGGTGATTATTTTTTATCTAAATGAACTCTGAACTCACATTGTTAAATGTTGGTTTGTAATTGCTTCTTTTTATTTTGGCGGGGGGCAGAGTTTCGCTCTTGTTGCCCAGGCTGGAGTGCAGTGGGGTGATCTCGGCTCACTGCAACCTGCACCTCCTGGGGTTCAAGCGATTCTCCTGACTCAGCCTTCTGAGTAGCTGGGATTACAGGCACTCGCCACCATACCTGGCTAATTTTTTTC